AACCGCTGGGGGAGGGGACGCTGGGCGGTTAACGGCGCGCGCAGGTCGGCTGTCCTCGCGCGGGGGCCGCCGCGGGCGGAGAGGACCGGCGACCGGCGAGGCCCTGCCTCAGGTGTGACCGCTTGTTCCTGCCAAGGGGGCGAGGCGAGACCTCAGTGGGAGCTTTTAAAGGATTTCTCAGTTGAATGATGCTTAACAGTTCTCGGAATTGCTTTTAATTTTAGAGATTCCCGTTTGTGAGGAGACCAGAAGCTACAAAAGAAATCTGAAAACTTCTGGCGTTTGCCAGCTTTTGAGCTCAGTTTTCTTTGGAGCGTCTGGTGAGCACCGGCGGTTTCCCTTGCTGCCGTGATGACGAAATGCGGTCAGTGCCGTTTTCCTCTGTTGGCCAAGGTACCGCCACGGTCGCCCTGGAGCCCGAAGTGGGCGCGCGGTTTTGGGAACATACCTTCTTGACGCCGAGCTCGCTTTGTTAATATTGAACTGATAAGAAGTCATTGTAACCGTTTTTAAAAGCAGGTTATTAATTTTCGTAAATGTCCCAGGGAGAAATTGCGTGTTAAAAACTAAGGGGTATCTCTATATCAATTGGATTGGCCTGTGTCAAGTGTCGGTCTTACGTACTTAGGTGATTTTCCCACGACTGAAGGCTGTTCTCCCGGCTCGTACACAGTTGACTGAAATGCTAGTATGAAGGGACCCTGCAGCTTGCCCTCGTTTTCCCCAAATGCCTTGTTTTCTTGAACCGACTCCCAGGGGGAAACTAGAAATTCCTAAGGAGACTACCTGGCAGAGAGCATTGCATCTCAGGAGCACAGTTTGCAAGGTTAAATTTTGTAATTGGTGAGTTGTTGTTCGGAAGTGTTCTGGACCGGTTGACCTTGCTGATGAGGGCCCTAACTACTAACACTGATCCTAGACAGGGCGGTTTTTTCAGGCTGTCCCTTCGGAAATGGGCCACAGGAAGTAGAACAGGGATAGAAACGGACACTGTTTAAGTTTTAAAATTATCTGCTCATTTTTCTCTTTATCTAGTAAGATCTCTTGGAAGTTCCAACCCCTGTCAGCTGTTCAGGTGGAGTCATTGAAAGGCCACAGGTAGCTGGGGCCTTCAGGAGGGGGTAGGGCACCCTGTAGGTGGCAGGGTGCCGGCAGCGGTGTTTGCAGAGGGACAGGTCTCAAGGAAAGGTGAGGGCAAAATCAGGTGATCTTGGTCAGCCGTCTTCGCTAGAGCATTCCTCAGCCCGGGGTAAACCTTAGTTATTAGAGATTTTATTAAGAGAGCATTGGTTAAACGTGACCAGGAGTCATTCTTCAATTGAAGGTCTCTCCCTTGTCAGTGAAACTGCTCAGGGCAAGAAAGCCTTGTTTAGGTTGGACTAATAGCCGCATAGGCAGAGCTTACTGTGTGTGAGGTGTTACTGTACCCCTCCAGTGGGTTTACAGAAGAGAGCTGGCTACCCTAAGCCTCGGGGTTTGTATAGCATTTTGAGGTAACAGACATGGTAAATAGCTAAAGTGTTGAGAAGGATGGAGTGAATGCCAAAGGGGCAGGCTGTTGTTGGGGCCCCAAGATGAATTCTCGCTGGAGGACTTGGGGAAGGTCGCAGTTGGACCTTGAGCAGAGAGTAGAATTTTTATAGGCAGAAGAGTATAATGGGGCATTCCTGATGGTATACACCATGAGCAAAGATAAGAAGTTTAAAATGTAACTATGTTCAGAGATATGGGAGCAAGTGATATGCTGGGGTTGGACTCAGTGTAAGG